GGGGGGGGGGCAGGAAAGAAAAATTTAACAAAGTGTGCCCATCCTCGTTCCCAGGGCTTCTCCCGAGAAGCCCTGGGAACGAGGATGAAGTGTGCCACACTCGGTGAACTCTCTCTCTCTATATATATATATAGAGAGTTCACTGGCCACACTTTGCCGCCTTGCTCGCAGGCTAAAGCGGAAGTGGAAAAAAAGGGTTGAGCATGTCGTCATTGCCTTGCCCTGGTGCAAACGAATCTCCCCGTAGCAAAAAAGAGCAGACGCGGTAGAAAATGTTCTAAAAATCTCGGGAAATCCCCTTCAAACGCATCAAGAAACGGTTCTAAAGTATTACTGAACTTTCAACGAAGCAAAATAAACCATGGATGTCGACGAATCGATCCCTGAGCCTGGTGAATCGATCCCTGAGCCTGACGAGAATGACGATCGTATGGTTGTAAACAGTGTTGAGGGCTTTGTGTGGCGAGTCGACGATATGAAAAGACTACATCGCTTTTTAATCCTTGGCAGTGAGACCCCAACTTATTATATCGTGAGACCAACGTTGGGAAAAGAAAATGCGAGGGCAATTTTAAATCTGCTGCAAGGAGGACGCGGTGTTGAAGTTGTGAATGAGATTCTGAAATTTAGCACCCAAGGACGAACTGTAAAACAAGATCCTATTATGCTTGGCTTAGCAATGTGTGCTCGGCTAGGCGATTTGCCAACCAAACGTAAAGCATACGAAGTTCTCCCGCAAATTTGTCGTATCCCTACCCATCTTTTCATGTTTGTCGGTTTCTGCGAGATGCTCAGCAGTCCGTCAACTGGTTGGAGTCGTGCTCATCGCAACGCAATGAAGAATTGGTACATCGGCAAAGCCAGTGATCCGATGAAACTAGCTATGGACGTCACGAAGTACCAGAAGCGAGAAGGCTGGTCACATAGAGATGTGGCTCGGTTGACACATCTTAAACCTGACGCAGCAAACGTCCCTGATGGGCTTTTTGCCATAATGATGTATATTGCCCGTGGCTGGAATGAGGTGAAACAGTTTTATTTTCCAGAAGATGGAACCCCTCCAGACAGAAGTACCATGACAACTAAAGTCCTAAAATTTCTGGAAGCTGTCGAAGATGTCAAGCAGTTGACAGTTAGTGATGTATCGCAGGTTGTTGATCTGATCCTGACACACAATCTTGTTCGTGAACATATACCTACGGCATGCTTGAAATCGATTGAGGTAGGAATTTACGGATGATTCTGTAGTAAAATGTCTGGTTGTTCAAAGCTGGATTAGCACCCTGATTGGATTTCTCTATTTTTGCTTGCCAAAGATTACGCCAGGAAAATTACTACTTTAGAAAACCCGCCAAAAGCACAAAATTTCTTAAAAACACACAGTCCGCCAGCCCACCATTCTGCCGCCTTTTAATTTTTTTATGCCAAAAACTTGTTTGTGCCACACCAAGTGGCTATGCTTTCCGCCCGCAGGAGATTACCGCTGCGGAAGACGTAAGCTACCGCAAGTGCAGTTAAACTTAAGTCATCACATGTTTGGCTGTTTCCTGCTTTGTAGGTGTTTGGAAATCAGACATTTTCAGGCAAGTACTAAAGAACACATTTAGCTATATATTCTGCAATATTCTTCTGCAATAGGAATTCCGAATCCCTTGCTAAAATACCGCAAAACTCTACCACATATTGTGAAATTTTCACAGTTGGCTTGCCGCAATAAACTACCGCAGTAGCAGTTGACCTGCAGCAGGAGATCTCCGGCTAAGGTGATGAACTTTCCAGTATGGTTTTCCGCCAAAGATCTTGAGCTGATGGGTATCGGAATCCAATCAGGATTAGCACTAACCCTGGATTAAAAGTTAACCCACTTTTTCAGTTTGTGTATTTCTGCATGTTTGTTTATTTCAAAATTCCAGAAAAAGAATCTCCAGTTGATCCACACAAGATTTCTGACGAAACATTTCAAGACTATAACCAAACTATTGGGAAATTTGCTTTGAATTATAGGTTTAATACCTGGGGTTTCAAACAACCGGCCCCAGTATTTGAGTGCATGGGTTTTGAATTCTGCAGTATGCGGTGTTTTTTCAGTTTGATGCTACAAAGACAGCAGGCCTTTTTAGTAACTTTTTTCTCGTGTAGTAATATACAATTACTTTATGGTTTCCGTGTTTGGATGGCCTGATCCAAACACGCGGGAATGTTGCGAGGGTTAAGAAAAGCGAGCGAAATCACGAGCCGAAGGCGAGTGATTTTGCCCGCTTTTCTTAACTCGAGCAACATTCCCAAGTGTTTGGATCAGGCCATCCAAACACGGAAACCATAAAGTAATTGTTTTATAAAATAACAACAACACGATAGTCTTCCGTGTTTGGATGGCCTGATCCAAACATGGGTTTCGACCAATCAGAATACGTGTTATGTACATATTATTTTATAACACTGGATCAATGAGTATTGAAAAAATAGCCAAAACAATTTTTGAGAAAAAAAACTGAATAAAGATTCTATTTTAGTATTTTTTCACAATGGAAAGTTGCCAAATATTTAATTTAATCGACCTTTTGATGATTTTTCCAAATTTCTGAAATCCAACAAAACCGATAAAAAGAGCACGTCAAAATGAGTAAAACTACGAATTGGTGGTAAAATATCTAACAATTATTGAATGATGTTGAGCATGATTTTGAGCAGAACTATTCTCTTCACATTGTACCGGTATTCGGATTTCCACAACATAACATAATGTTGAAAATGATTAATCATTTGGTCAGCTATTGAGTTGATATGATGATTCCATAGCTGGCTGTTAGCCAATCAGAAACCATAAACCTTTTTAAATAAATAATTGCTGCCGAAGGCAGCCTCCTATTCTTGACATTCTGCATTCATTCATCCCAGTCTTTCGCGTGAGTTATGTACTGTCAAAATCTTGATTTGATTTCGGGACAATGTCTGTCCAAAATATTCGGGGGGAATATATTATGGTGTCATCTGAAGCAGACATATAATTAAACAAAAATGTCAACAAATAGCAGATTGTTCAGTTGTTCTGTGATAGGGGTAGCCTTGAAGGTGCCATTAAAATGATAACTGGGACAAAAAATGACTTAGTATTTTTTGTATATATGATATTCTGCAGTATTCAATGGCAAGGTAGCCATGGCAACTGGTCATGATATACTAACAAATTTGCATCTATTTGAATATTGCAAATCATTAAAAACTTACATACATGTAGCATGACCTGTTGCTATGGCTAGCTTCGCCATAGCCTGTGAGAGCCTGCCATGCAGACTAGTTTTGCCACTGACAGTGTTATAATTGTACATACAAAAGCAAGAAATTATAAGCATTGGAAGTATTCTTATAAAACCTGCCCATGCCAAGAAAGTAGAATTAGAATATTTAGCTGACCTTCGACTTTGTGCAAGGTGATTGGTATTCAAATTGCACTTAAATTTCCTACCTCCTGAACAGGTGTCTTAGGGGCTGTTTACATATATGATGAAAGATTTACATGATGGATGATTTTGATGTATTGAAATAAGTCACTAGACACTAGGCTAAACAAAAGTTCAAATACTGGTTAAAGAACTCAAATTTTATAGAGAAGATCTTGTAGTTCAAGAAGATTATTATTGCTGCTTGGACAACCTTTTGTTTACAGTTAACTATAGTCTATCTCTAGAAAATAATGTGGTTTTTGCTGAATCATGCACTGTGACTTATTTCAGTACATCAAAATGATCCCACCTCACATCTTATCTCGTACTGCTAAAGTGGGATGATATAAACAGCCCCTTATCACAGAATAAAGACACACAGAAGGTCTACTTAGTCAAAAAAGTCGGCGTAACCGCTTCCACGCCATGATTCGTCATCAAAATGCTGACGCCATGGTCCTAGCCAGTGCGCTTATGACAGGCATCCCCCCTGGACGTCCGCCATTTTGAATATTATCAGGGGGGTGAATGCCTCTGATAAGCGCACTGGTTATGGTTAGGGCTAGGACCATGGTGTCAGCAGTTTGATGACGAATTACGGTTACGCCAAAATCATAGGAAAAACCAAGAAGTCAGGAGTCTATTAGTCTCTATTCTGTGCCCTTATTCAGCAAATTGCATGCACATGCTGCCTTTGATTCCTTGGGAGTGGGGCAGCACTCTTGCGATAGTAACTTCTAGTAATATAAATAGTATGGTCTTAGACAGTTTGCACATTTTATATGTAACTTTTTATATTGCGGATTATTTTATCGAAAATTTAAATTGAAATGTCTTTCGTTTTGGTGCTAAACAGCTTCCCACATATTTCTTGTTTTGGCACTGTATTTCTTTTTTGCACTGTGATTTGGTTTTTTGATTTGCTGATTTTGTAATCACAATTGTGTTGGATTTTGAAAATATTTGCATCTACCTTGCAAATTTCTAGGTTTGGAGAGCATTAGCAAAGAAAATGCCAATGACAGCCATGATTGTAAATCTTGGCAGGATGACGTCCATTGGTCTACTGGCAGAAAAAAGTCAGGAAACAAGGAATGTCTGTGAGAAGTTACAAAATGCGCAATTGTTGAGACATGCTCGAATTCACCCATTCAAGGTTTTGGTTGCATTGAAGACGTATATAGATGGTCACGCGGACAAAGGGAAATTATCCTGGACACCAAATGAAGAAATTGTGGAAGCACTAGAGAAGGCATTTTATTACTCCTTTAAGGTTTGAACAGCTATTTTAAAATTGACCAGAGAATGGTACTAATGGTAGAGAATTCATTTGATATATATCCAGTATACCAATATTTCTTTAAGGTTACAAGACATGTTGCGCACGTTAATCACAAAAGCCTTTGTTTTCAACCAATTTAGCTCAAATTTTGACCAGTTATAGTACAATGTACTATAACTGGTCAAATGAATATACATAGTATTTCACTATTTGTTAAAGATTTCACGCGAAAAGTTTTGTTAAGTTATGGTTTTAAATTAATCAAATTACTGTAGGGATGAGCCGATACCAGAAAAAAGCCGATTCGCCGATCCTATATATCGGAGCCGATATAAAAAAATAATCGGCTATGGCCGATATTTCTGTGTAAAAGTTGAATAAAAGTTTAAAACCCGGTAGAAGCGTCGGATAACGGTTTTTTGACAACTTTTAATACTTGTGTATACGCCACAAATTGACGTACTAGTTTTAGTGTGTTCGAGTCAAATGAATCAAACGTAAAAATATAAATGTATAATTGGAATTCACTCTATTCAATATAATTTTAACTTACAAGTGGTCTTATTCCCTCGAGTAACGCAATATGGGATTAAATACGCGCAACAAAAGTGTCAAAAACAAGACGGAGTGTAGATTACTAGATTATAGAGTTATTTTTCTTAAAAGAACGAAAAAATTGCGAATATCGGCAAATAGCCGATTATAAAAAATAATCGGCCGATTACCGATTATTTTGAAAACGCCAAATATCGGCCGATTTATCGGCCGTACCGATTAATCGGCTCGTCCCTACAAGTTAGTGATTGACCGATAATCTGTATTGGCATCGTGCCGATTTTTGCCTTATCGGTAGACAATCGGAATCGGTAGAATTATCTATAATATTTCCGATTGTCTAAAAGTAAAACCGATGCATTGCACCGTTGCGTTTTAACACAATATGTTAAATTAATGCGTGAAGTGTGCCATTTATTAACGGTTTTAACGATCTTTGGTTGCAGTAACATGTTACGTTGGAAATTATCTTTAAAAAATCAACATGAATGACGTCACCTTTATTTGGTCGACTGATATTATGACGTCATTATAAAATCGTCATCGGTATCTGGCAGATTGTGGCATGAATAATCGGTAATTTCGATTGTTGCACAATCGGTCAATCACTAAATCAAATCTGTCCAAAGTAAGCTTTTTGGAAAGTCAAATGATACCTCTACAAAATTGTGTGTGGTTATATAGCCTATAGGTTTTCTTTTTTCTTTTTGTGATATATGACTCTCTTTCTAAAAACTCGTTCTATTAACTAAGTTGTTTTGTATTCAAAGCATGCAATAAGTAAAAATGAAAATCAGAAAATTGTGGTTTTTGTGCGTCTTCTGTGAAAATTTGAAGAAAATTGGACAAAAGCAGAGCTTAACAAACGTTTTTGAAAATTCATCACACAGAAACGAAGGCGATAAGTTTCCACAGAATTTCGATCATCTGAACAAATAATACACCGCCCATTTTCTCATAATGACAGCAATGTGTCACCTTCTGAAAAGAAACTGATTATTCTCATGGTAACCATGCTTCAATTAAGTTCGGCTATAAACAGGGTATACTGCATAATAGTAGGACCAATTAGTTTTCCTCACGATGATGAATATCCACCATTTTTGGGTGGCATCTAATTCTCGTTAACCAATGCAGACAATTAAAACAATGTGAAAAGCAATTTTTCAACATAAACTAACCATTTATGCATGTGGACTTATCACGTGCATAATGGACACATGTGGACTTATCTCGCAGACTTCGGCTGAAAAGCCACCCAAAAATGGCGGCGTGAGAAAGGCTAAATTAGCCTCACTATAAGGTTTATTAAGGCATTGATTGCCGCCCCGCCCCAGATTGCTTGATATTTCAAGGGTTAATTTAAGTTCTCACTAGGTTTAACATTTGTACAACGGGTGTGGATAGGTAATCACACGGAAAGAAGTGCAATTAATGATTAACACTACGAGTGATATTTGAAAAATATGCCAAAAATCAAATATCACGAGTAGTGTTAATCATTAATAGCACGACTTGCCCGTGTGATTATTTACTTATTATAATGCATGACAAAATCGCTCTCTTTAAAATTCAACTGCACTTTGTCAAGAGTTTTTAATTATTTTGTAAGCAATTTGGCATAAACAAACTTGGTAAATGATCATAAACTCATAAAGGCACATAACTTAAATTAAACTAGAACACATGATTCAAACTCAAACAACATATTCTAGAGTAAGAAAATCTTTATATTAAATTGTATTACAGACTTACATAGCCACGTTTCGCTGCATCTTGCCGAAATTATTTCTTAAAACTGTTTCCAGGTATTTCCACAGGCTCTTTTTGCCGTACTATGTTTTTTAAACTCATTCTTGTGCCAAAATTTAGTTAAATTCGTCCAAATAATTGCACTCCTCTTAACCAATTAGATTGCAGTAATTTTGTCATGTGTATAATAATTTTACTAATTTGTAGCATGTCGAGTCAACACAGAAGAGATATTTGCTGGCTCTTGACGTCAGTGGTTCAATGTCCTATGTTGGCTGCGCTGGTACTCCTTGTATCACACCTCGTGTCGCATCAGCAGCCATGTCTATGTTGGTCGCAAAGACAGAAGCCGAACATCACTTTGTTGCTTTCTCAAATGAAATTATCCCGCTGATGATCGACAAGGATATGAGCTTGGATGAAGTGCTTGCATTGATGAAACTGGTAAATTAAAGTCGCTAAACTAAATTAGGGACCGCTCATTATTTATGGTGGGGGGGGTGGCACCGAAGAGAAAAGGGTTGGGTAAGCAAAATTTTAAGTAAGTAAAAGGTTGAGTAAATGAAAAACAAAACAACTCAAGGGTTGGGTAATAAAAATTTATTGTCAATTTCAAAACATGACTCACTGAAATATTGTTGACTGAAAAGCAATGTCAACATTTGTCACTACAATATGTGAATCAATCAGAGTCACTATCTTGATCATTTTGACAAAACAAGTGGTGTTTCCAAAGAAAGTACATGTGCAGACAACATGAAACTTTAGACTGCAGAAAATTTCACAAGCCGTTATCAAACACATGTCACAGAAGTGGTAAAGGACATGTGTGACAACTGAATGGTATCTTTTTGTAACCGGTTTTTGGCCAGGGGTGGGTAACTATTTATTAATTGATATTTGAAGTTGGGTAATCAAATTTTTGTCTTTTTAATAGTTGGGTCAGCAACTTTTTTGCCAAGAAAAACATTTCTCTTCGGTGCCACCCCCACCATAAATAATGACCCGTCCCTTAACAAAAATTCGGTTGGTATAGGGATGCAACTACCTGAAAAATACAAGGAAAAATTTGACGTTTCGAGCGAAGACCCTGTCAGAATGTTTTATAAAAGCAAGTTAAAGGCCTTATGCAACGAATTTTTCGATGGTGAGATTTTTGCATTACGTTATAGAGTTCTTTGCACTGGTTCGAAAGATGCAAACCGTTTTCCGAAACTCCAAGTAGCTTTATTTTTATAAGCCTTCAAAGTCGCAAATTTTGCCACTTTCTTTGCGAAAAAAAAAAAGACCTTTGGTGATCAGTGGTGTGACGTCACAGTAATGAGTTGTTTTCGACGGACCTTATGTAAAACATGTTAATCCTTTGTTTACACACAGCACGACTCATTACTGTGACGTCACAGCGCGAACCAGTTTTTCGCAAGAGGGACCCATCTTTAAACACAAAATTCACTAACTTTTAGTTTGAATTTCGCATCGAGATTGGTATCAAAATGATCAGAAAAGATGAAATTTTAATAATGTGTAAAAACCTCACCATCGCAAAATTCGTTGCATAAGGCCTTTAATACAAATACACAGAAATCTAAAACAAATGCAAAAATAGGTACGCTAGGCGTTAGAGGTGTGCATCGGATCGGATTGGACGTTTATAATCCGACAATTGCCTAATGTTTAAAATCCGATCCGAAATTGTCTAATCCGAATCCGATCCGAGTTTTGACAAAGAATTCCAATCCGATCCGATCCGAAGAATTCTTTAATAAAATAAATTTTTCATTCAAGTTGAAATATTTAACCAAATAAATATAAAAGCAAGAAATACATGTCAAGAAGCTGACAAAGTGACGTCAAATTGAAGTATCAAACGAATAATGCAGTGACAACCGCGATGATGCTTTGATAAATGCATGGATAATTAATTCTTGCGATAATGCGTGGATAATTAATTCATTTTATTTCGGATATCGAAGTCCGATCCGACTACAAAACAACTTTATCGATCCGATCCGAAATGAACATTCTGGTTCCGAAATCCGAACGAATCCGATCGGATTCGGATCGGATTTGCACACCTCTTCTAGGCGTACATCAGCCTAGACCTAGGCCTTCTATTTTTATTTATATTTTTTTAATATTCAGTGCTTTTTCACATGAAAGACTGGGACTAGGTGATTTGGGGGCGGGGCGGAGGGAGGACACAAGCCTGACGCAAGCGAAAAAATAGAAGGCCTAGTGGATTTCGCAACAACAAGGCCAAAACTGCCCTGAAACTGCCCTGATTGCGAAATGCCCAATTGTTGCGTTCTCAAACAGAATTATTTGCAACTTAACAGCGAATTTAAACCGATACAGGTAAAATAAACTCATTTATAGTATAAACTTACTATTTTTATTTGTATACACGTCTAGAAAATGTCTATCATAAAGTTTGAAGCAACACTATTATTATGTTGACAAGGTGAAGCGAAAGCACAAAATATGAAAATAATAATTCTTTTCTTCGCAAGACAATCTACTGTTTTGCTTTGAATAACTATATTTGCGAATTGGGAATGAGGATTTTGAAATTATTGTTCAAATATTACGGATATACCATTTGTAAACAATGTACGTTTTTATGTACAGTACTGTACGGGCTAATAATATATGTATCCGTTTTATTTAATAAATTATAATTGTATATGTGTTTGTATATTTTACAAACACAAGACTGCTTCTTACCAAAATTGAGAAAATATATATTAATGTAGTTGTGTATAAGACAAAATTTCATGAAAGATTCTACTTTTGGTATATATTTTGACTCATTTTGTGCTTTCGCTTCACCTTGTCAACATATTAAATAATAGTGTTGCTTCGAACTTTATGATAAAAAACCCGATTTTCTAGACGTGTATACAAATAAAAATAGTTAGTTTATACTATAAATGAGTTTATTTTACCTGTATCGGTTTAAATTCGCCGTTAAGTTGCAAATACTTCTGTTTGAGGACGCAATAATTGGGCATTTCGCAACCAGGGCAGTTTCAGGGCAGTTTTGGCCTTGTTGTTGGGAAATCCACTAGGCCTTCTAGGCTTGGTTCCTCCGCCCCGCCCCCAAATCACCTAGTCCCAGTCTTTTCATGTGAAAAAGCGCTGAATATTAAAAATATATAAATAAGACTAGAAGGCCTAGGTCTAGGCTGGGCGTACATGTATCTGCGCAAAGGTATTGCATGGTTGCTATATGGAAGAATTTCATTCATAATTATTGAGTAAACATTTATATTTGATGTTATGACAAAGAATGTTCAGATTGCAGTCTTCATTTTCCTCACATGAGGCACAGTTAAGCGGTAGCTACTACAATACTTCAGCACGAGATGGTACAAAATTGACTCGTACAGAAACCTGTGGCAAATCACTCTTCTACATTTTCTTTGAACCATTTTAAACAATACTTACCTTGAAAACCTGTGTAAGACTGATTAAATTAATAGGCAAATAAGGCAATTGATATTATTAAAAAAGCATGCACGGTCACTCACGAAAAAGCTTTACGATGTTATATCGGGCAATCTTCTAGGATATAATATAACAAAAAGTTTTTTATCGGACAATTTTGACAACTTTTATCCAAAATTGTTTGAAGTGTTTTTAATCATTTTTAAATTTCAGACAGCAACCAGAAACGAAGTTTTGGACCCATATTGATTGCTTACAAGATAAAAAATTAGCGTGACCCCCCCCCGCCCCCCCTCTTGACGTAAGGGACCGGACATAAAGTAACTGCTAGGGTGGGCTGGAGTGATTTGGGATGGGCCATGGAAAATCTTTGGGCAGTTTCGATGGGCCACCAATTTTTTTGTATGTCGACGGTTGGGCCACCATACAAAAACCCGTGCATGTCTGCTTCAAATTTAATAAAGATATTAATAATAAAAGTAAACAAAACTGTCCAAATTATCAAATGCAAATAATGCTATTGAAGCCAGCACTTTGTTTATACAACAACAAGAAGTGGTCGAATCACAGCAAATACAACCGACTGGAGAGCAGCTCAGTATCAATGTGTTGGTCAAGCTTGGTGGAATTATGTATGTCAATACAGTACCATGTATATTTTACAATGTTCATACCTGCAAGTTTTTTTATTATAAAAGTGTATTTTCCCAATTTAGAATGGGTGGGTCATGAAAATTTTTTTGTAAGATTAGATGGGCTTTGAAATTTTTATCGACATCCTAAGATGGGTCACCGAACTTATTGGCAAAATTTGTGATTTACCTCCAGCCCACCCTAGCAGTTACTTTATGACCAGTCCCTAACATGCATATCCTCAATAATCCAAGTTGGCGAACAGCTAAGCAAGATATAAACTATCTGTAATAGAGTTTAATATATAGTTTTAAGAGTTCTTTCAAATGAACTAAACTCATTTTTTATTGCCAATGTCCTTTAAGTATTAAGCACAACTTGAAATTAACAATTTTTTATTCATAGATTCCAATGGGAGGAACAGACTGTGCCCTTCCGATGAAATATGCCATCGAAAAGGACTTGGAGATTGATGTATTTGTCGTCTACACTGACTGCGAAACCAGAAAAGTTGACATCCAGCCTTCCGAGGCGCTACGACAGTACCGTGAGCATTCAGGTATCCGTGACGCAAAGCTGATTGTGGTTGCTATGACGTCAAATGGTTTTACTATCGCAGACCCCGATGACCCTGGGATGTTTGATATGGCAGGCTTTGATTCTGCCGCTCCAGAAGTCATGAGGGAATTTATACTGGGAAATATTTAGCGCTGACGACAAACTGTAAGTACACGTTGTGTTGCGTGTATTCGTTTAAACATTCTCTTATCATTACTAAATCTTGCACAAATTGGCACCGTATCATTGCATTGATACACACAAAATATGTTACTATAATGTAGGTTTAGAATGCAGGGCTCGAAATAGCGGGCTGCCAATGGCCAAAAGCAGGCCATATTTTAGAAATGGCAGGCCAAAACAAATTTGAACTGCCAAAGTAAAAAAAAAATGGCAGGTGAAATTCTATAGATATATTTCATTTGCTTACCACAACTCATATATACTAGATCATTTAGTTGACAAATACGTTTATATTTGAAATGTATTATCCAAGTTTACTGTAGTAAAATAAAAATGCATATTCGGAAAGATCAGGCTTTTAGCCATTGAAAAAGGCTCAAAAAGCTATTCTTTTTAGCTATTGAAAAACAATAAAAATGCATATCATGAAATCATTGATTTTTACATTTATGACTCATATGAGACATCGCCATTTTGGCAGTTCAATGAATAAAAATGGCAGGCTAAAATTTCACCTGCCAAAAAATTTTAGACTGGCAGACCATATTTTTCTCTACTTCGAGCCCTGGTAGAATGGAGCAAAGGCCACCAAGCATTTCGATACAGAATATAGGAACTATACAGAAAGTCGAGTTCTTGGTTTTGCCTATGATTGTGGCGTAACCATAGAGTAGAGACATACAGAGCTGTAACTGACCGTCGTAAACACTGCGGAAGCTTACGTTTTCATGTACCCACTTTTTTTCATGCGACCAGGCAAAAAATGATCAACTGCGCGTGCTCAGCAAGTTCCGCGAGCGGTTAAAGTGAGTCGTCATCAGGTCGTCATCCAATCAGATGCATGCATCTAGTAACTTGCCGAGCATGCGCACAATAAAAGTGGGTACACTAGTTATAACGCTGTATATGCATCTACTCTGTGGCGTAACTGTTGATTTTGGCGACGGCATTTTGATAACGAATCATAGCAAATTATGGCGTGGCGAGTCGACCTGTTCTGAGATTATCCAAATATGTGAATTGTGTAATGTACTAATGTAAAACTCTTTCAGGCACCCAAATTTTATTAAATGGCTTAACGTTATTATTTTATAATGGCACTTTTATTGTAGAAACTCCCGTAAGTGTAAATCCGCCTGAAAATGTATGCAAATTGTCTGCAAATTAGATCTATGATAATGATGATATTATTGAAAGCAATATTGTAGCAGGGCTGAGATTTTATCACGGTAATCGCGGCAATATTGCCGTAGTTCGAGAGGAAAATGCCGTGGATCACTATGGGAGTTAGTTTAGCTGTAATGTAATTTATGGGGGAATTGGTGTTATCAGTAGAGAAAAAATTATGTAATGATTTTTCTTTGTGTAGCCTGTAGATGTTCTTACTAATAAAATGTTTTGTAGTTTATGTGTAACCGTAATAAATATTGAAATCTCTAAACGTAGAGGAAATACAGAGAATTATTTTCTGCCTCGCTCCTCCGCAGAGGCTTTAGTTGGCTATGATTACGATTAGTATTGAGATTGAACACAAGCGGAGCCACTCTTTCACCCAGCGGCTCCGCTTGTGTTCCAAGATCCGCCATGTAAAGTGTAGTGAAATTTATCTCGATACTAATCGTAATCATAGCCAACTAAAGCCTCTGCGGAGGAGAGAGGTTTTCTACCAAAACCTGGTGTTCATCAAATTATAAAGACGAAATTGTGTAGCATATAGGGATAATGGGTGATTTTCTGAAGAAACGAAGACATGACATTTGTTCCCACATAAAAGTAAATTACAACTTTGCAATCACCGTGATAACTTGGGTGAGGACAAATAAAGATATCCGAACTTTTGTGATCTGAACAATATTTTAATCTTGGCAAAACTAGTGTAGTCTGTAGTGTAGAGCACACAAAATAAATCGCGGAAACCATGAAAACACCGTTGCTGTTATACAGATTTTTTTCTAACGGGCAGGGCGCCCGAGGGGACAATCTGCTGCCCTTGGCTAAGGTGGGCGAGGAGCTATAAATAAACAGTTTGTTAAAAAATAATTATATGAAATCGTATATTAACCTCGGGGCCCAAAGTTGTAACTCCCTTAGTCGTAATTTCCTCACCCATAATTTCCTCATCCATGAGGATTGTATTTCTTTTCATACTTTCTTTCATGCACAGGCAATTACAATCAACTTTAATTATCCGTAACCATAGGCGTACGGGACGGGAGAAAATTAGGGGGGCGGAAAGAAATTTGCCCGACTTTTTCGGATTGTGCCCGACCAGTGCTGAAATTTTTTTTTTCTGGAACAATTAATTTTGGCGACCTCCCCCCCCGTCGCCAAAAAAATTTCGGTCAGTGTACCATTTTAGGGGTCCAAAAAATTTTCGGACATAACAAAATTTTTCAGAACATCAAACAAATTTTCCCAATAATCACAAAATTGACATAATTTCCCGCAAAATTGACACAATTTGTCCCATTTTATTTTATAATAACCCAATATTGCCCTACTGTTAAGCGAATATTGCCAAACTGGCTTTGTTTGCCCAACAAACTGGGGTTATTATTAAGAGAGATCTTATTGCTTTGACTACTTTTTGCCCGACTTTTGCCCAACTTTTGTTGAACATTTGCCCGACTTTTCGACTTTGTAATCTTTGGGGGGGGGCAGCTGCGCCCCCTGCCCCCCCGTCCCGTACGCCTATGTCCGTAACTTCCGTTATAACAGTTTATACACGGATAATATATCAATAAGAGAAAACCCAATGGACCATTTGCATTATAGACTAAAAATTTTGATCTAGACAAAAATTTCATCACAGCTTGAAAGAGCATCACAAAATTAGTAATATTCCAAAGTTTCGTTGGCGAAATGTTGTAAAATGCGGATAATATAGCCTTGCGAAGTTTGCCGTTTTTCAGTCATTTTGTATTACGCATGGGAAATTGACAGCCCAATCGGGTGTTGGGGCATCAATTTCCCGTTTGTAATACAAAACGACTGAAAATTGCAAATTTCAAGCTGTGATGAAATTTTTGTCTAGACTTGTTTAGATCAAAATTTAGTCTATAATGCAAATGTCCATTCATTCGTACTTGTGATTGCATCCACAGCAAACGTATTTTCAAAACTGGGGGAGTTGTGAATATTGCAAAATCTTGAAATTCAGAACTTTGATAAAAATTCCCATCCCTCACCTCAGCTTAACAAGGTGTGGTCCATCGCCAAATCAAAGCTCCCGAAAGACATTTACAACTTTACCATTCGTTATATTAACAACTCTCTTCCCACGCGCAAAAACCTAAACAGATGGACAATATCTTCAAATTCAGACAGACTGTTCTTTTTGTCTTAGCCCTGAAATATTACTACACATAGTAGCTGGATGTCAGTATCATTCAGTGGTATTATCTCAATCGATTTTCGTGGAGACAATTCAATCCTGAACTTTCTTGCTCAAACTTTACAAACTGTTGACGGTTAATTCTAGGTTAATTGATTTACATGGATTCAAAAGCCCTTCAATACTTACTGGTGAGTGGTGAATAACCAGACGTTTCGCCCAGATTTGTTATTATCGTACTCAAATGGTTCCTTATATGTGGTCGAACTCCGGCACCACTGGTTATGAGACAAACCTCAAAAACAACATAAAACGGAAGAAAGATAAATATAGAGAATTATTGAGACAGCTATAGCCAGTATATAGGCAAAAATTTTAAACAAGTTAAATTTATAAATCTCCCCATCAGCTCTTTATGTATTTTTGCAGAAGAGAAGAGCTAGACTAAGTGTTCTATATTTTTGGACATGTTAGAAAGTATTGGTCTTGACAAAAACCACCAACCACCTTTGAACAACTGGCCCCTGATTTTAAACTTTCGTTTATGCCGTTTACAGCGAAGTATTTGAATTAATTTAACATTTTCTGGTTTGTTTTGTTTGTAATATAATATATTATAGCTCAGTGGTCGTCACCTAGCCTCCTCCGCAGGCATCTCACCCGACGAATCGGGTGGTGGGAAAAAGTTTGGTCGCAGGCTAGAACCTATAGAGAGGCCTGCGGAGGAGGCTAGTCGTCACCCATTGAACTATAAATAACTGGAAGGCTAACTGCTATGATGAAGGTCTATGATTCGTTGAAGCCGGCGCGCGGGAAAATCAGCTTTCAAAAGGACTAAAGGCTGCATTCCAGTTACGCGTTTTTCATACGTGCGTACACGCACGTAAAAGTTGAATTCGCTTAAAATTTCATATAAGTGCAAATAACCTTAACAAATACACATTAAATCATACACAAAACTGAATGCTGTCCTTTTATATATTTAGTTATTTCATAAGTAGGATGTAAAGCGAATTCAACTTTTACGTGCGTGCACGCACGTATGAAAAACGCGTAACTGGAATGCAGCCCAGTTACACCCGTTTTCAAAATTACGCGACCTCCCTGAAAAATACTCCTACTTCAAATGTCAGTTTTATGTCAGAAGAACTGCTAAAAATTGCAAACGTAAACAAACTGTCTAAAGACATTTTAAACCAGGGGCGGCGGAACCAGGGGGGCTAAAGCCCCCCCAGAAGTAAAAGTTGGGGGGCTTCGCCCCCCCAGAAAATTTAGTTTTTTCTCGAAAAATTTTGATAATTAAGGAAAAATTTAGGCTATTTTTTGAAAATTTAGGTATCAGGCGAAAAATTTGCATTATTTTGTTTAAAAATTGTGTATTTCCGGAAAAAAATTTTGTTATATGTCCGGAAAAAATTTTGTACCCCTAAAATGGTACACTGACCGAAAATTTTTTTGCGACGGGGGGGGGGAAGGTCACGGAAAAAAATTTTAGCCCCCCCAGAATGAAATCTGTTCCGCCGCCGCTGTTTTAAACCGTATTTAATACCAAAACTGAACAAAAATGAGTCAGATATTATAACTTAGATATACAAACTAAAGCACAATACAAACCATCACAACAGAAATATGTGCCGTGAATGACTTTTAAAGTTTGAAAAATAACAATTTATCCTGGAATATAGCTGTCAGTATAAAACACGCGCGCTAGACTATAACGGTGATGTTATGATTTTGTCGTGCTTAAATTTTACAATAATTCTCACTAAAATATCTTGAAAATCATTGTAAGTCTGTTTATATAAAGCATACAAAGCATATACATCGACAAGGAACCGCAAAACTCAAAGTTTGAACTTCGTGATCGAATGACATAAAACTGACATGTCAACTATAGCATTTTCGTCTTTGGTCGCGTAATTTTGAAAACGGGTGTAAGGTAATTCCGCAGTTTGCATTGCGCACTTTTACTGCGCACATCTTATAACTTATACTTTCATCCATTATACGTACCATTTAAAAAAAATCATTTTATGACAATTTTATGTTACTTCAAAACATCTTTGGTTACATTCGTGCAAAGAATTACATTAAAATCAATGTTTTCAAAAAAGGCATACAAAAGTGTAGCTAGGGTTCCCTGTGTCTGTAGTATATTTACTTGTATTTGAAGTATTTCACGTTTTGCCACAATTCCCTAAAAAGATCGATCGGTGACCCCCGTTTTTTAACTGATAATTTATTTCTTTAATGCATTTTACATTTCATATCCGAAATTAAAAGAAAAATCATTTCTGGATCTTGAAAAAAAATCCTTTAATGCTTTATCAATGCATGTTCTCAAAGAAAGATATGTAAAGAAATGTGGAAAAGACATTTGTGGATCAGAATTGTACAAGTTGGTAGTTTCATTTTGCTCAAAACACAATATTTTTCAAAAATAATTACAAGATAGGTTTACTAAAGCAAAATCCTGTTGTGATTTTGGCTTTTGCTGTTACTCGTAATGAGCGTCAAGATGGCGCCATATTGGGGTAAAGGTGGTATATTACTATATTGTGATTGTCATATCTTCTTAACGAGTTAGGTGACACCGACTTTTTTTTGTGATTTTACTTTAAGTATATCATAAACTCCATGCCTGTGAAGTTTCAGCACATTCTCATTTCGGGACTGACAATTACTGCGGAATTACCTTAAGGATGGTTTCGAGGAGTGAAAAAAATTCGGTCAAAAGTTTGTTTTCGAGCAAAAATTTGCAAGAAAAACACTTTTTCCATGGGAATACTACAATGATTGGGATTCAAACCAGGTTTTCCGATTAGTTCCGACTGTTTTACTTCTCTCTGCAGCAAAAAGTGAGGGGGGGAAAAAAAGTTTTGCTTTTCATCTTTTGTATTTTGAAAAGAATGACGAAAGTTTGGACGTGCCGAAGGAAACCTCGCCCTTCAACTGAAAAAAATATACTCTAAAACATTTTGACAGTCCCAAAACTTATCTTGTACTAAACCCCAGGTACTGTTATTGATCCTGAGCTTTTAGTCCTTGTTTTATTCCTTCTAAAACATAAATAAATTGGCGTTTTTCATGTGATGTTATTTTCGTCATCGCTCTTCTTGTTGGCCACTATGAGCACTTTGAATATAGCAATATTTTTGTCAATTTTTAAATGCTTTTTTTCCGACCTGAAAACGTTCAATGTTATTGGAGGGTCCTGAAGGGGGGGTCCCAATCCCATTTCCCACCTGAAATTTTGGCAAAATCCCAGTCCCAGTTGGATTTTTATTAGAAATCCCAGTCCCAGTTATTGAAATCCCAGTCAATAAAAAACCCTTTATTTATCGGTAGGGTAAACAGTTTTAAGACCTTTTAAGCAAGTGGCGGACACTTTATGAAATATTAGGGGGGGGGGGTTCGTGCCGAAGGCACGGAAAATTTTTAAATTTGAATCCCGGAAATGGCATTTGCAGCATTCTGAGACACGCATAATCATAAAACCCAGAATTCCGGGCGCCAGAGTATGCCTGTAGTGCTGTGAATATAATATAGTTAACAACAAAAATCATGACCAAAGACACCAAAAACGGATCAAAATTGTATTTTAAAATACTCAAAACGCAGAAAAATTGGGAATCGACTCGCATTACCTCAATCCCATTCCCATTTATGAGGACTTCATTTCCCAGTGGCCAAATCCCAGTCCCAGCAACCCAAATCCCATTTTCCCAGTCTAAAAATAGATCAATCCCAGTTCCTATTTTACCCCTTCAGGGCCCTCTTATTGAAACTTCGCATGCAGATGTATTTTGCATGGGTTTAAATAATTCCTAAGGTATGACATCTTAGTTTGGTGGTATAACTAATATTTTGGGGCAAGAGTTTTCTGATCAAAAAATGTGCATATTTTGAAAAAAAAATTTAAAAAAGACTGGGTCTACCTACAACATTGAGACCTGATTGAGACCTACAAAAAAAAGCTTCAAGAACGCCCCCCCCCCCTGACTTAGCCTTCCAGTTATTTATAGTTCAATGTCGTCACCACTGTCACAGAATGGAAAATAGAATTGGAAAATAGTCTATTTCCTCTGTGCTATTTTCTATTAGATGTTGTCATTGCCTTGTCGTGGTCACAGAGAAGAGTTATATATCTCTCCTCTGTGCCGTGGTGCAAACAAATTTCCACGTCGGCCGTAGCAAACAAGAGCAGAAGCGATTGAAAATGTTGTAAAAATCTTGGGAAACCCCTTTAAACACATCAAGAAACAGTTCTAAAGTAATACTGAACTTTCAACGAAGCAAAATAAACCATGAATGCCGACGAAGCGATCCCTGAGCCCGAGGAGAATGACGATCGTATGGTTGTAAACAGTGTTGGGAGCTTTGTATGGCGAGTCGACGATATGAATAGACTACGTCGCTTTTTAATCCTTGGCAGTGAGTACGCAACTTATTACATTGGGGAACGAACGTTGGGAAGAGAAAATGCGAGGGCAATTTCAAATCTTTTGCAAGGAGGACGCGGTGTTGATGTCGTGAATGAGATTCTGAGATTTAGCACGCAAGGACGAACTACAAAACAAGATCCTATTATGTTTGCCTTAGCAATGTGTGCTCGGGAAGGTGATTTGCCAACCAAACGTAGAGCATACGAAATTCTCCCGCAAGTTTGTCGTATCCCTACCCATCTTTTCATGTTTGTCGGTTTCTGCGAGACGCTCAGCAGGCCGTCAACTGGTTGGAGTCGTGCTCATCGCAACGCAATGAAAAAATGGTACATCATCAAAGCCAGAGATGATCCGATGAAACTAGCTATGGACGTCACGAAGTACCGGAAGAGAGAAGGCTGGTCCCATAGAGATGTGGCTCGGTTGACACATCTTAATCCTGTTGCAGCAAATGTCCCTGATGGGCTTTTTGCCATAATGATGTATATTGCCCAAGGCTGGAATGAGGCCATGAATCAGTTTTATTTTCCAGAAAATGGAATCCCTCCAGGCAGAAGTGCCACGACAAATGCAGTGCTAGAATTTCTGAACGCTGTCGAAGCTGTCAAACAGTTTAGAGTTGATAATATTCCACAGGTTGTCAATCTGATCCTGACACACAATCTTGTTTGTGAACATATACCTACGGAATGCTTGAGATCGATTGAGGTAGGAATTTACAGATGATTTTGGGCTGTTCCATTTAATATCCACACCTCCCCCCCTCCTATGGATGAGGTCAGTAAAATTTTAACCCCTAAGAGAAAAAGATCAAAGTGCCAGACACAAAACCCCCCTCAGAAATTTGTAAATTTTCCCCTTACTCCTCAGAAAAATCGCAGCGATCAACCAAAAGGGTGACCCCTCAGAAATGCCTTTGGGGTCACCCTTTAGAAAAATTTGCCCATTGGGGGGGGGGGGGGGGGGGGGACTTAAAAGGGAAG